GAGGCGGGTAGACCAGGTGTCCCCGCCTTCCAGGGCAGGGAATTTACCCCCTGAAACGCAGCATTTTCGGCCCTAGATAAAGCGAGAGGAGCAAAAAGGGTCCTGACACCAAACAGGCCTATTTTCCTAGACGGGAAAAATAAATAAAAATACAAAGCCCTACGTCCTGTTGCTCACCTCATCAGGAAAGTGCCAAACCAGGAACATACTCTGAGCTCTGCAGCCCCCAACAAAAACCACAACACTATGAGACACCCCTTCCCACATAACATCTGTGCCCCGCGGATCCCGTTTTTAAGCGCGGCAGACATCGCCCCGTCCGGGCGCGGCGCCTTTAAGAGGCGACAGAGGGCGGCTGCCATCTTGTGTGGGGGTGGGTGCGCGGGGTTTTCGGGGTGTGTTGCGCGGGCGCATGCGCGGTGGTGGCGGGAGCAGCATCGCGGCTAGTGCCCTCCAAGGCGGCGGAGCGATGGGGCTCGGGTCCAACTCCGCCGTGCGGGGTAGGCGCGGGGCGGGGCGGGGGTGCCCGCATTTTAGGGGGGAATAGGCAGCGTGAGATTCCCGCCCCCCGTTATTTGGGGAAGGGGAGGAGGGAAGGGGCGCGGCCTTCACGCCCCGCCGGACCCTGGGGGACAAAATGGCGGCGCGGCGCTTTTCCCATGCCTTCCCCCTTCCTTAACAGCTCCCCTCGGGAGGCTTCGCCCTTGGGATTTATCGCCTTTCAGAACCCTGCATAAATCTTTTATGCGTCATTTCTCATCCAAAATGGGCTTGTGGGCGCTTTTTGGAGTCTGCCGCGTCGGGCTGTCATTATTCTCGTCCCCCCTCGCAGTTTTCCGCCTTGGAAAAGTAACTGCTGGAGGTCCTGAAGCCCTGAGGGGAGAGGAGCCAAAATTACTGCTGTTCACGTGCTCTTCCTGTGGGATAAACGCTCCCGAGCTATAAGCAGAGCCTAAAAGCGTCTTTGCGGTCTCTGGAAAGGTTCACGGGGATTTCTTAGCGGGAGGAAACTTCCAGAGGGGAAGGGAGCAGAAACTCGGTGTCCCAAATCTCTTATTCCTCAGGGCATGACACTCATGCTGTTGAAATAAGCCTCTCCAAGTAATGCACATCTGACCTTGAGTTTGGCAGCAAGGTGCAGAACTGAAGCCAGGGGCCTTTTGAAGCAATAAAGTGATCCAAAAGAAAAAGAAAAAAAAAAAAAAAGAAAAAAAACCCTTAATGATGTTATCTGTCACAAGTGCAGTTTTATGATTAGTTTAGTTGGAAATGTGAAATTGCAGCTTTTTCCAAATCTACCATTTTTGCAAGAAAACAATAGTCAACAATAAGACTCCCTACTTTAGAGATGTTGCAGGTTGATAACCGTTATAAGAGAGAGGGTTCATCTGTTAAACTCAAATGATTTTCATACATTTGGATTATTATCTCCCGGAAGATAAGGGAATAGTCTAGTAGTGTCTTCTCAGATGGTTAAAAGTGATCATTAAGCCTTGATCCATTGGCAATGCATGAAAGAGTGCCTTGGGTAATCTTTGTGGCTGCTGCTTTTCTGTTAAGATGCATTGAGCATCTTTTAACATCACCTTATTGTTAAAGAGGTGGTTTGCCATGCAATTGTAGGTGATTTCTCGGCATACTTAGGTGTTTTCTGCTTCATCTACTAAGAAAATGAACTTGGGCAGTTTCTGCACTTGTGATTCCCTTTGCAAGACACTTAGCCAAGAATTCCCCACCTGTTCCCTGATCCTAAAGGACTGTATTTGTAATTCAAGTGTTTGTCTAATTCCGCATATTGCTAAATCCAGACACTTGTAGATCAGCGTGATTCATATTCGCTACGCGATGTTTAAATGAGAAAAGGCTTTGGTACATAGCAGATAACCTTTTTGATCCTGTTTGTGGACACTTACAGTGACAATACAGCTCAGTTAGCTGTGGAAAGAAGTAAGAATAGCAAAAGCTTTTTGTTTCTTCTTGCCTCTCAGAGTTGGATAATGTAGTAATGACTGACTCCAGAGATAGTATTTGGCTTGATGTCTTTCAAATCTAATGCAGAGATTAAAGGCTGAGACTGAAGTTTCCAACTAGAGACTGAGTTTTCCTAAGTAATCTAAATGCTCTCAAATACCCCTTAGATTTATTGTGGAGTCAGCTGAATTCATATGCCCATCTCAGGAGCACATCTGGGGGTAGAAGCAGTAGAAAGCAACACTGAGTCTTCTCTTTGACTTTCTGGGGTGGTCAGAAAGTTCAAAGAGAGGAGCCAGCTTGGAACAGAAAGGGCCTCAGCTCTTATGGCATCCAGAACTCTACAACAGTTGGGCCCAAGTCCAAGATATTCTCATGGCGCAGAGGGAAAACAATAGGGACTGAAGAAGTAGGAAAACTCCTTGCAGAAAAGGAAATGATGCCAAGTGAGAGAGGCTGCAGCGATTGAGAGAGAGCTGTTGGCCCGTGGAGAAAAAAAAAAAATGAGGCTGGGGTGAAGTGTGGAAAGGGGCTATTAAAATATAAGTTATCTTCCAAAGAGCCAGTGCCTGATCCAGTTAAAACAAACTTGTGCAGTTATTGTTATATATAATCCTTGTGTATCTATGTTCTTTCCTGTGCAGCACAGTAGGGATTTAATCTAAGCTGGTTTTCTGAAATGGTATTATATTAAATAATTCCCCCATTGCCAAACACCTGTTAACATTTTTATTTACAACACGTTGCATGAAAAGCTATCTCGGTACCAATACCCTGGAGAAATCCTGTTTATGCTCTTGCTGCAAAGAGTTCTTCTCTAGCGACTTTCCTGCAACAGAAACAAACATCAGGTTTCCTTGCTGCTCACAGCTGTTTTAATGGGCTGAACCGTGCACTACTGACACTGATGGCACAGATTCCTGAAGAAAAACATGGGGAAATAAGTGTAATGTTAATCCTATAGCTGTTGTCTAGAAGGGTTTGGGAGTGAAAGAGAGCTCTGGCCAATAGAAAGGAGTAGGTTACTTGGGTGAGGACCAGGAGATAATATTCAAGTTCTAAAATATTACATTTCTTCTACAGAACAGAAAGGTATGCCACAGACATGAAACATTTACTTTAAGTAAGCATAGCAAAATATTATAGTCAAGAAACTCACTGTCTCTGTTTTCCTCTTTTATTCTAGTTGAATGGGTTGCTGCAGTCTCCTTAGCTGCCGGAGCAGCTGCTGTTGGGTATCTGGCTTACAGAAAATTTCTTGCTAAAGACAAATGCTGCAAAGCCATGGTGAATCTCCATATCCAGAAAGATAACCCCAAGGTAGTCCACGCATTTGATATGGAAGATCTGGGAGACAAGGCTGTGTACTGCCGTTGCTGGAGGTCTAAGAAGGTAAGAGAAGAATGAATCATAGAATGCCTTAATTTTGTTGATGTTCCTGCCTCTTTTAACACAACTGACCTCAAGCTGCTGTGTTTAGAAGAAAACCACCCTTTGCACAAACTATACTGCAGTGCAAAGTAGCCTTGACCTATACAGCCAGTGCTGGGATGGTATTGAGCTTTTTGTGCAAAAATTTACTGTTGTATGACTGTGTATTGTAAAGAGGTATCTTCTGCCATACAAATACAGCAATGAATTGTTCTCAGTATTCATGGAGATAATCTTAAAAACAAACAAGTCCACACAAATACCTTTGCAACTCATAATTCTATGGGTAATTCGCTAGAAAAGCGAGTGAAATAGTGCTGACATACCTCAAACTCAAAAATTTTGAGAAATCTAGCCTGTATCCACAGAGGTCCAACCTGCTTGCCTATAAAGCTGGGTTTTCCAGAATTGGTAAAAATAATATATAACTTTTCAGTAGCACTGTAAGATCAGTTTTAGATCTGAGCTAGAGATGTGAGAATCTATAGTGTGTGTGATGGTTCTGGGCCCTGTAAGGAGAGAAAGCAGAGTGCTGGGGTAGTCTGGTCAGTTTACAACTGTCACACATTTAAAAGCAGTCTTTGAAGCTGAGGCATTAATGTGTGGAGACTGAGATACTGCAAGCCTTCAAAGCCAGATAACTGAGATGAACAGCCTTGAAACCTGGTTATCTCTCCCTTAGTGAGCTAAATACTACACTTCCCATGCCTTAGAGACCATCTAATCAGGCCATGCTGTGCGTAGTTCTCCGGGTACTGTAACTTTCAGTCCTTGCAGTTACCAGATTCCCTTCATTGCCTGAAGGGAAAGCAAGGGAGTTGGGAAAAAATTGACGACACTGCTGATGGTGTGACAGCGTCATGACTTGATCGGAAATAATCCTGTGAGGGAAGGGCTTGTAATCTATGATCCATCTGGAGTCTGAACTGCAAATGAGATTATTTTTTCTTCTCTCCATGGCCACGGTGGGTACCATGGACTAAATTACGCATTTCCATACATATATATTACGTATTATAAGGATATGAGTGTACTTGCATGTAGGCTGTCCAGCATGCAGGTGTCATGCAGTACTACGTGTATAGCAGCATTGGTTCTAAATTTATAACGTAAATCTCAACTGAGAATGAAAATTCTAGCATTGGAAGCTGCTGTGAGCATTACAGTTTCAGAGGAAAATGGCAGTGGGGAAGGGAAAAGCTGCTCTAAGTATCTGCAGGGGTGATATCTGAAATTGGGTTGACATACTGTAGGCTCCTCCTTCAGCGCTTCTGCCAAAAAATCCTCAACTTGTACCTTATTATTTATACTTCTAGCTTCTTTCTTTACAAAACAGGAATGGAAATAGTGTCTGGTTTTAGTAGTTGCATTGCAGCTCCTGTCATTATTCTAGTTATTGTTCGATACTATCTTTTTATGAAAAACAAATTTTATGAAATACAACTTGGCAGATATTTGAAGGGGTGTTGTCAGTTTTGGAACATACTGTCCTGCTGTTAGGCCCCTGTAATCAAATACTAAAAGGAAGCAGACAGGGACCACCTTACAATGAGCCCGTTCTTGGAGCTCTAATCTGAATAGTCTTGTAAAGGCATTAAAGAGCTCAGTGGAAAAATTCAAAGGCATTTGTTTTCTTCAACTAATGCTTAGTAATGAGTATTTTAATCAATGTGTTCTGCTTCAAAGCCTGCAGTTTCCAGCATCACTGTCCTCCCCTTGCTCTGACCAGTTGACCTTGTATGTTGGCTAGCATGATATTTAAAGTGGTGTGTGTGCGCGCTGCTTCCCATGTTCCCAAGCAGTAATAAAAGACTTCATTTGCACATGCTTGGGTTAGAACTTTCTGGCATTATTTCTTTCTTATAAACTCCATCTTGTTTCAGTATGTAAGCACTTCTGATGGATTTAGCCTGACCTGAGGAATGGAAGCTGTTAATGGAACCTGTAGTGCTTCTTCTGCACCGGGAATAACAAAGCAGTTCTGTCCTAGTTGGGCTATTCCAGCAGAGCTCTTGGAAGATGAATAGGGTTATCTTCAGTTGTTTCTAAAATAGTATAATATAAAGGCTTTTTTAAAAGGTTTTTGCTGGCCAAATATCTAATGTTTTTCACTGTTTTTTTTAGAATGCATGTATTTAAAATATATACAAAATCTTCAGATAAAATGGGATATAATTTCAGTCTGTTGAAGTGGTAGGTAGTTCTGTAAATCGTCCTTTCCTCTTCAGTGTTGTGCTCTACAGGGTCTTCATAGCAGTAGTTGTCATGTTTTGTGGAAAAACGCAGTGATCACAGTTAACTCTTGCCTCTGGTAATTTGCTTTGTTTTAAAAACAAATTGCAATTGCTGCAGAGCTAGAACATGCGTTTTCTTACTCTTTACTCTTATGCCTGTGAACTGTAAAGATGTCACCTTGATTTGCTTTTTGCAGTAACCTGCAAACTCTGTCTTTCAGAGCCATATTTGTCCCTATTTTGTGGGTTTCGTGAGAAATACTGCTGCAGAATATGAGGAACAGCAGCAGAGAATCCAAATCAGCTCAGTGCCAAGGGAAATAAGCCGAGCTTTCCGGGGCATCACTGCACATTTCCTTTGAGCCATGCAGTGCTTTGATTACTATTGCTAGCATGCTTTAGCTTACATGGGGATGAGCATGCTGTGTCAGTCTGCCCATCCAGCTAATTCAGTACCTGCTCTTGAAGGTGACCAAGAGGGTGCTCTGCAGAATGGTAGGGAATAATTTCTTCTAAGAGAAATTTAAGTCTAGTATCCCAGCATGAGGAGGCTAGTGATGTAGTGACCAGCTAAACCGGAGGATGCTCTGAGGATGGTCCAAGGTGGAAGCTATTACAGATGCTTTGACACTGTCTCAAGTCTATGGATTGCACTATTTTTGCCACCTGCAAACTTGAAGCAAAGTTGCTGGTTTAGTTGGACCCTGGTCCTGCCTCCCTTATAGCATGTGAGGTGCTGCATGTCTGATGGAGGCAGAGTTGGAGTCTGGTAAAGAGCAAGGGCTGTGATGTTGCATGGAAAAATAACTGGTGCAGCCTGGGATGGAAGCAGATTTGTGCCCCCTGAACACATGTTCTTATTTGCTCTAATGCTTTGCCAAGTGCCTAGTCATCGAGTCTCAATGACTGGTTTGATGGTAAAGTCCCCACACGATTCAGGATGTGTGAGTATTCTTCAAATTCAGGGGTTATTTATTTGGAAACTTCATCTGCCATTTGCAGCATATTTTTTGACATTTTTTTTTGACTGAAAAACAGGCCTCCCTACCTTGCCCCCAGTAAAGATAAGGAAAATCCTCCCCAACAGGGTATGTGGCTTTATCTTTAAAACTAAGGAATTCTTTTTTTAAAACAAGTATCTTGTTTTCATACTGTTGTTTTCTTGTAGTATTTTGAAATATTTAATTGTAATCACACATGGCTCTTCAGGATGTTAACTTTATTCAAGGGCTAGGACTGAGCCATGGACACTAGGATCAATGCAGTGTTGAAGATGGTTTGATCATGACTGTAATGTGAAGGGAGTATTGCTGTTGTAAAAGTTGAGCTGAATATTGCTTAAGTTTGATTCCAGTTACTTCAAAGTGGAAAAAAAAAATAGAAATTGACTGAAGATACTGGTGTGTGGCTTCCTGAGCTGATCTCCAGAGCTTCCCCTACAATAATGGCTTAGCCCTGAAAACCCATCATCGGGAAGGATGGAGTGTGATCTAACTCTTGTTGCTTCACACAGTGTTCTTTGGCTTTTGTGGACGAAGACAGCTGCCCAAGAGCAGAGCGATTGAGAGCAGTCCAGAATCTGAGCAGTTATTACTGGCTAAAGGAGAGTCCCCCTGGGTCTTGCTCTGACCAGGCTGTTCTGTTTTTTACGGAACAAGCATTTCTTCAGACTTGCTTCCTCAGTACTACCCTTAAGCCCCTGATGAATAACCATGTCAGCTGGAGGTGCGGTTTGTTTTCATTAGCAGCTCAAAATCCTAATGTAGAATCCAGCTTGTGTGGAGGGGCCCTTGTGTCAATGAGATAAGCAAGCTGTGTCGGGATGAAGTAAAGAAGGGCTTGCCAGTCTAACTGTCTGTGCATAACTAATCTTTGGATGTCCTTGCTTAGTGAGAGGTGACCTAGGAAAGTGGTCCTTTTGTCTTCATGTGGTAGACAATAAAAAAACAGGAAAAAAATCAGCCAAGGATTCTTAATCCTTTTCCTCTCCTCACCTACATTCTGCAGCTGTGTTCAACTGTGCAGCTTTTGTCCAAGGAAGCTGAGCGTGGGGTGAGGTTGAGAATTAGATACTCCAAGCAGGTTACAGGTGAAAGCCAGATTTGGCTTCATTTTGAGTGGTGGCTTGGGGCTAGAAAACTGATCTGAGTTCCTCCTGTTTAATAACAAGCTTCCTATTTGGTGTGCTCTTTTGTGTGAGCAAAACTAGTGTTTAGCCAGAATCCAGTGAGACCTCAAATGCTAGTGCAAAAGTTGTGATTGCAGTGGATTTGAGAAGCTACTCCAAGAATATTTGATCTTGGTTCTTAATTCTGACTCTGGATATACTTAATATCTCTCATATTCTTTCTCTTTTCAGTTCCCTCTTTGTGATGGCTCTCACACAAAGCACAACGACGAAACTGGTGACAATGTTGGACCTCTGATCATCAAAAGGAAGGAGGCATAGAGTGGACAGTGGAAGCTATAAAATGAATGTCTGACAAATCCTCTGCTCACTTGTAAATCAGGGCAGGGAAACACATTTTGTTGTGTCACTGAAGAATCCCAGTGTAGTGTATACCTGAGGCTTCAGCATGGGTATTTTTTCTGGTGTCTTGTTTTAATCACTACAATGTATAATTTACTAAATAGTCATGTTTTTTTTTTGTCCTGTGAAGTATGTGTACTGTTTCATTAAGTATGAAACTAAAATGACGGATAGAATGTACTTCAGCCAATGTGCAGAAAATAATTTATTAAATTATTTTCAAATACCTGTGTAGTACTTTGAGGCAATTCAGTAGTAAGTGTATTCAGAAGGTAGCTCTTAATATTGAGAGGTTTAAAAGTCACAGGTGCAGATAGGCTTCTTCTGAAAAGGCAATGGCAGGAGAAAAATCATGGTGCCAAAATGCAGCTTGGGCGTACACTGCGTTTTCTTCAAGTTTCTGTCGGACTGCTGTTTTGTGTGGCTTCTGTAAAAGAAAATAAAAATAATTGGCTAGGGGCAGATAACAAAGGCTTATGGCAAGATGGGGCTAAAGGGCAACTTTACCTTGGATCTTATAGCAATGCTGAAACTTGGCTCTACTACCTACCATAGGATATCAAGAATGCATTAGCGAAACTGTATTTAGACTGGGAAGATGGTGCCTGGGAAGCAAGTAAGAATATTTTCTTAATATAAAAGGAGAATTGTACAAAGAAGCAGTAGTGGGCAGGAGGTGGCAGGGTGGCTTTTGCTGCTAGAAACTTAGTTTCACTTGCAGTCCTTAGCGGTGGAACTATCTTGCCTACATGACAAGACACTTCTCTTGGGGTGACTATGCTGTGTTAATCCAGAAGTAAAATAAAAATTGCAGGAACCCACCCAGCATTACTGTCTGCTTCATCTTTGCTCTGGCTGGTTCCGGAGGACCCTTCTCTCTGTGCAGGGTAGAGATATGCCTTTCTTACCGAGTGGCCTTAGGCTCTATGTGTCTTAAATAGTTCCTGCCTCCCTGGGCTCACTGATAATGTAGATCAGCTAATTTTACCCAAAGAACCAAAATGGACAAGAAGATGCTTCAGTAATGGCTAGAAAAAAGGGGAAAAGGAGTGAGACAAGGACTTATCCTCTACCTATATGGCACTTGCCTGCCTCATCTAACTGCCATGTGTACTGCAAATGTGTGATGGCTGTAATATTGGTTTCCTTAAATACCTTTGATTTATCAGTGTACAAACAACTATGAAGCAAAACCCAAAGATTGGGATGGCAGATGGCAGTTTGGTATTTGACAAGTCCACTAGCGTAACTGCACCTTACATCAGACAGGCTTCTTGGTGTCCAGGGAGAGACTACCTCAGAGCTAGAGGAGAGGCCTTTTGAGAAGCTGAAATTTTAAGTTGAACCCTTGAAGATTTCTCCAGCTGAAAGAGGTAGTAGAGAATTTTTTTTAAGGGTGGGATTGGTATGACTGGTTGAGATCAAAGAAAGTGTTTTGTGAGTTCTTCTAGATGTGGGACATTCAGAGGCTAAGGTAGCTGACTGCTCTGAGCTTTGGTAGAAGGCACAGAAAATAAAGTGGTATAAAAGAAGGGGAAAGAAGATGTGCAGCTGAAATATATGGGGCTCAACTACTGTCTCTTGGAGACCTCTGCTAGAAAGGAGTTACAATCAAATATGTGTGGTTTCTATTCCTGTCTTAACTGTAAGGGTACTTGACTTTTTTTTTTTTTTTTTTAACTTGGCCGAGTACTGATATGTATGGAAAGTTGTTTTAATTGTAAATTATCAAATATGTTGGGTTTTATCCAAAACAAGTTATTTCTGTATTATTAGACTATGACACTGGATGTTTCTGTATTTTTGTCAAATATACTTTTGAGCTCATCTTAATTTTGAGGTTGTTTTGTCTCTTCTCATGGGTGTGTGTTTCTTTTGAAGGAAGGTTGTGTTATAAGCAGTATTGTAGCTTAATCTGCCATAATTCATAAATCTGTGTGTGTTAGGTTTTCCTTCTGATACTTCTTCAGGGTTCCAGCAAAGTCTGGCTGCTCTTGAAGGGATAAAAAAGATGCATCATAACTTGCATATGTGTCCGAACAGTTCAAATCCTGAAGCTTCAGATGAGTCTCCCAAGTCATAAAACTGTTTCTTGGAATTTGCTAGTAAAGCATTTTCTGTTTGAAGGTGAGTGAAGTGATTCCATAAGAAGCTCTTTTTGTTTTTTGTGGGAGGCAACGATTCAAAAGCAATTTCTGCCATTTATATCTTCCTTGTTTTGGAGAAGTGTCACTGTTACAGATGTTGATGTGGAATGTTTTGTTTTGATTCAAGTAGTTTTCTGTATTGTACCTGAAGTTCCTGTTACTCATGAATGGGAGCTGTTTGAACATGTTAATAAAAAGCAATACTCGGGCTTGAGCAAAAAAATTGCCAAAAATATTGACAAGCAACCCAGAAAACACTCTTTTTTTCTTTGTTAGTGTACCTGTTTATAATCCTCTGATGGTCTCAGTGCTTTCCTGCTATGGTGTTTGTTGAAATCTGTTCCTCAGGACATCCCTCAAATAATCATAAGAAAAAGTGAATTTGTTAGAGCTTTATGAAGTTTTAACCACCAAGAAATTCTTCTATAAATGTACCATTTTTGCATCAGATAGAAACTCTAAAAATGTGACATAAATCCTTCTGTCTGTAGCAGTGAAGGATACCAGTCCCAGAGCACAACTGTATTTCTCTGCTGCATGATTATTTTCCAATATGTTCACCTTCCTAATAATTCAAATTAGACCACTAATTCTTCAAAATAGTTTGAATGTAAAATATTCAAGTGTACCAAAGATCAGGATTCTTGAGAAGGAGGGAGCTGCATTATTATAAGCCATTTTCTGATTTTCTGCAAGTTCGGTTCAAATCACATTAATCCAATGGATAATTTCACATGGTGATTGCTGGCATTGCAATAATTCATTATTCCACTAGGAGGAAACACACTCTATGCAATTCAGATTTTCTGATGTAGAGAAGGAGTTATTTAATATGTATGTTCATTTATATATGTATGTATTTTACAAATATTATCATCTGTCTGAGGCAAGGCATGTAAAATTTTTGTAAAGTGTTGCGATTAAGGTTTTTTTTCCTATAAGGAAGTAGGGCACAGCACAGGTTCTGCTAAAATTTCCAGAATGTCTAAACGATTTGGACCTTGTTTTGGTGTTTGCCTGCAAGCTTGGGGCATTGAGACTTGTTTTATGCAGTGGCACAGCAGTTACAGTGGGATTTTCCTGTAAATAATCCAGCTAAATACATGGAAATGTGAGTCACTGATGTATCACTGTTACTCCAATAACAGCAGAATGTTTCTTAATAGCGAGAAGGATAATGTAGGCGTGAAACTAACTATTCACATTGGAAAAAAAATGCTTTTGTCAACTGGCTCCCCTTTATCTATTTTGCATATAAAAGCCTCTTAAATTTGGCATTTGTTCAAGGTTGGTGACAGCTTCTTCAGGCAGTGGACAGATTTGGCGGAGTAGTGTGGTCCATTCGTACTGTGTGTCAGCGCAGAGCGGGGATGCCCTGACATGGCTACACCGAGTTTTCCAGGGTTTTTCTGTGGTGCTTTGGCATCTTCCTCAGGCAGGATTACACCCAGGCTTCCCTGAAGCTGTGAGGAATGCAGAGGGGAGCATGGGCGAAAAATGCCTGAGGATGAGGAACGAGGGGAAAAAAAAGGAAGTGATGAAATGGCAGATGTGAGGACAGCTAAGCTAGAGGAGATTTGACTGTTGAGGCAGTGCTAGGTGATTGCAAGGAGGCTTAAGTCAAAGCAGAGAAAATCACGTTTTAATTCATTATACCTCTATATCGAATGAAGAATAAGTTACATAAAGTAGCTTTTCATTAGCTACTGCACCTGGGCAGTTTTATTAGCCAAATAAATATATTTAACAGGTTAGAGACTAAGGAGTTATGTTCCTTGAACGGACATCTGTTTACGTGCTTTTTTGCTCCTATACTGTTTGTGAAATCCCACAGTGTGGGACAGAAAGCAATGCATACCTATGGCTTGAGTCCCCTAGAAGTCGAAAACATTAATGCGAGCTCACCTTTGTGAACCGTTTAATTAGCCGTGCAATTATAATGAGCAAAAGGAGTATTTACCAGTATGCCCCTTCAAGTCAGTAAAATCACAGTGGGTTTACGTCACTGCAGCAAAGCACGTTTTAGGCCACCCTTCTCATATGCAGTTTGGACTTGTAAGAAAGCAGGTACTCAGGAAATTTGGTGTTTTGTTTTGTGAAATTCTGTTTTTTGATAAACAGAACTTGCATACATCTTGCATGAGCACCAAGATCATTTCCAATGTTATTTTATTCCTTCGACATTGCTCTGCCCTTAATCTGCTACATTCTACTTTTTTTTTTCTTTCTTTCTTTCTTTCTTTTTTTTTTTGTCATGCAAACTGCTGTTTTCTTCTGGCATTTTTGAATGCATAGCACGGTTTTTAAAAAGGAGAAAAAAGAAAAAAAGCCTTCTGCTCCCTGGGAGGTGCCTCTGCAGAAAAGCAGAGCTTCTAGAGCACAACAGAAATTACAGCTCTAATGTGTGAAGCATCCAAAATCGAGCCTACTGCAGGGATGTGCTCAGTAGCTGTGATGTTTGTGCAGTTCAGGCAAGTCCGCTAGTGGCAATGGTTCAGCCGAGTGGACACTGACTGCAAAACTTTTCTCAAATAGTTTTCTGCAACTGGCAATATAACCGTAGAAGGACAAAACTTTGTGAGATACAGCCAGGACTCTTGCTCTAGACTTGCGGACCCAACGCAACCACTGTAAAAGGCTCAGTAATTATTAAATTTGTTACTGTTTTCAAACTGTGTGTGATATTGCCTTTTGAATCTCTATCTCAGCTCCAGCACATGCAGAGAATAAATTATATTTTAAGGGTTAAAATTCCTCTGCTTCACAGGCAAAATTTGGGATTAAAATGCTGTTTATAAGAAGAGGCTTTTTTGATAGCAGTTGGCAGTGGTTTTACTCAGTAAATGGGTGCTGATGTTTAGTTTTACTGCAGATGGAGCCAATTTAAGAGGCATTGAATTTTTTTTTTTTAAAAAAAGCTTGTTGGCATGTTCATTATCTGAAGTCAGGCACCAGGATGGTCCTGAAGGTGAAATGCCACTGTGCATCTGTAAACCCTAAGCAGTTCCTTGATTGAGGAATATGTTTGTCTTTGGAAAAACTCTTTTTAGAAAAGCAAAGGGAGTAATTTTCAGCTATCTGTAACCTGAGAGGTCAGGAAATGATTGAAGTACTAAAAACATTGCTATAGTGCAAGCGGTGCTTTAGAACGAAGCACAATTTCTTGCTCTGGGACTTAACTGCTCCTCTCTTGTTGCCATGTCCTGGAGCTGGAGGCAACTAAAACACATTTAACAAATTCAAACCCTCAGCAAATCGTGGTTAGCTTCCACCTTCAGGGCTGATCAATTAACAGTATGATTTTATTGTACCAGAGAGACCAGAAGTGCAAGCCATGCTCAATATGTGCCACGCAAAACAAGACCTTTGTCTTTTTTTTCAAAACGCTTCCTTATGTTGCCCAACATCTTGTTGGCTTTTGGGGCAGCAAATGCACACGGAGCTGATGACTTCAGAGGACCGTCAACAGTGACTTCAGGAGCCCTTTCCTGAGCCGTGACTGCTGCTTCTGGGCTCAGTCTTTGGTTGGGAGCATTATCTTAATTTGGATAATTATCTTAATGTTTGTCCATACAAAAAAAAAAAAAAAAGCTCATATGTGAACATTTTTGCCCTCTACTCAACTGACAGTTATAGTTCAATTTGGAGAAAACATCGTACAGCAAGTAATCAATTATAATGAATTAGCCCCCAAATTATTTTAGAAAATGTACTGTGTTACATCTGCAGAATTTAGATTGGCTTTTGACACTGTGGCTCTGTTACCATAGTGGAAAACCCCAGATACACCTGGTTGGAAGGAAGAAATGTAGCGCTGGAGTGTCTGCATGTATCCGGAGATCAGTAATCATCAACAAAGTAAAATATTAATCAGACAGGCTCCTTTTGTGGGATCTGATACAGAAAAGGAAATGAAATAGCTGGGAAAGGACATTTCCCAAGTTCTGTGTTACTCTGAGACAAGAGAAATTTAGACTTTCCTTTGCTTAGCAGTAACAAAATAGTACAGGATTTCTATAATTTAATGAAGGATTAAGTTAAACTATTTTATGAGGGCACAGTACAGCAATGCTTCTGCTGGGAAATGGACAGATAGGCAGCTACAACTACCTGGAGTCCATGTAGGTTAGCCAGAAGTGACTCCATTAATTTGTTTACCTAATGCCTCCCTGAAATTTCACTGAAGTCTGAGCTTCCTGTACTAAACTATCCTATATCTTGTGGTTAGTTATTAGCTTGCTGATCTATTTGAAAAAGGGCTTTATTTCAGCAGAAAGATTTTCTTTCGTAATCCTTACTAAATTCAGAAGAGCTTTGCAATCTGCCAGTGAGACATTCTCTGGCAGTTTGCACTAAATAAACGTACACATCACATTCTCAATGTTGTTTGTATTTACATTTTTGTCAGAATGGGTGAGGCTAGGCTGGGCTGTTTTTCAGGAAAAGAGAAAAATGATCCAGAATTAAGAGTCCTCTGCCTAATTGGTTTCAGTACTGGTGCACTTCCCACAGCTAGTACTGCTTGCCTGTTCTTCATAGCTGTCGTCCCTTTCAGTTTCTCTTTGAGAGCAATTTTACAGCCCAAAGAGGAAAAATGAATATGAGACTCTTTCCTACAGGTTCTGCCTTCAGTGAAAATTAACAAAACTACACTGGGAATTACAATGGGGAAAAAATACTTATAGTTTCTTATGTATGACAGTTCAGTTTGTTTTATTTTTGAAGAATTTCCTAGATAAATTCAGTGAACCCTATGTGTCAGTGTGAGGGTGGGATGAGTGAAAGATGCATCCGCACTTTGCTTCATTTCTATATGCAGAAGCCCTACTGCAAACTTCAGGGAAAAGGAAATAGTATTTGCCTACTGCAGCAACTCACGCTTTTGCATTTCCTTCAATCCCTTCAAGGTCCACGCTGTGTGTGGGGCAGTTGGCGCTGAGGTAGATATGCGGGAGCAGCTTGCCGGGAGCCGGTCTTCACGGAACGGCACCATCGGGCATGGGAGGACTTGTTCCTTGGTTGTTTTTTCCCCGTGAAAGCGCTGACCGAGCCGTGTTATCGCTCTCCCGCATCAACGTTTCCCTGGGAAACTTTGCCATCACCTGCATGGGGGGAATCGAAGGTAGGTGCTGATGTTTGCAACTCTCCTCAGCTTTGGACATTGACAAGCGTATTTTGAGGAGGAAGGACATTTGGGAAGGAGAAACACGGCTTTTCTGAAAACACCAGTCTCGTCATTTCAAAAATGATGTTGCTGAATCATTACCACGGCCTCCCTCATCTTAACCAAGTAAGAAACTGGAACAGCTTCATGAGCCCTGGGCCTAGAGAAAGCTGATTTCTATAGATTTATATTCTGCTCCTTTCACTCATCCTGTTCCAATAATCCAAACAGCTTAAATCCAACTCAAACACCTACAGAATTTTCTCCTCCCTCCCTCCCTCCCTCCCTCCCTCTCTTTCTTTTTCTTTCTTTCTTTCTTTCTTTCTTTCTTTCTTTCTTTCTTTCTTTCTTTCTTTCTTTCTTTCTTTCTTTCTTTCTTTCTTTCTCTCTTTCTCTCTTTCTCTCTTTCTCTCTTTCTCTCTTTCTCTCTTTCTCTCTTTCTCTCTTTCTTTCTCTCTTTCTTTCTCTCTTTCTTTCTCTCTTTTTCTCTCTTTCTTTCTCTCTTTCTCTCTTTCTTTCTCTCTTTCTTTCTCTCTTTCTTTCTCTCTTTCTCTCTCTCTTTCTCTCTCTCTCTTTCTCTCTTTCTTTCTTTCTTTCTTTCTTTCTCTCTTTCTTTCCTTCTTTCCTTCTTTCTTTCCTTCTTTCCTTCTCTCTTTCTCTCTTTCTCTTTGTTTCTCTTTCTCTCTTGCCCCCCCTTTTTTCAGACTGTATTGACTTTAAAAGGCCCTTATCTACTTTAAAGGTTTTGACACTATGAACTTGTACTTGAACATGCTAGACAGAAAATAGACACGTTTGCCAAAGAGGGCCTTTAAACCCTTAGAAAGGCACAGTATTGACAAAAATTGCTAAAACAGGCTTTTTAAAGCTAAGGTGATTTTTCTGGGTACTGAGAACCTATGAGGTATGGAGGTAATCTGCTTACTAAAACATGTATTAGTCTGACAGGGCTCGTCGGAACAGTTAATAATAAGGGGAAGACACTGAGACTGTGTTAAAAGAAGGGGGAAAAAGGGTGCATTATATAGAGATATTGCAACATTTCACTGGAGGAACTTGTTAGCGCAACGCGTGACTTACGCAGGAAACAAATGGCAACCATAAAGCAACAGGGACCATAGCACGCGCCGAGGGCAGGCGGCTGTTGGGGCCCTGGGCAAACATTTGCGCACTAAAACGGCCGTGGAAACGTGAGAGGCTCGTTGGGGCCGGCGCCCCGCGCGTGCTAACGGCTCTCGCCTCAGAGGAGGGCGACGCGCGGCCGGTGGCGACAAAACCCATTTGGAGGCGGCGGCCGTTAACGG